CCCTAGTGTTAGGGTCAGGGTTTGCCACTTGTTTCCCCTAGTGTTTCCCACTTGACTCCCTACTGTTTCCTGTGGTGGTAGCTTAGCATTTGGCTAGCTTAGCATTAGCATTTTCTGTGTCAGTGAGCCTTCATACGAGCAGCTCTTTGGCTGTCTGTCAGTCTTTCTCTCCCTCCCGCCACAGACCAATGACTCACCGACGAGCGCCACGCTGCCGTGAACCTTCCCGTCCTGTTCCAGCAGCTGCTGCAGACGAAGCTCGCCGGCTGCCAGCGTCCTCCAGTCCAGACCGAGCGCTTCGTGCAGCTCCACCCTCACCGCGCCCCGGCGGAGGTAGTCGAGGAAGCGGTCGTCCACGCTGACCACGTACTTAGAAGTAAAGTTGTATTTCGGACTGCGGCCCGTCACCACCGGTGTGGCGTGCAGCTCGAACACGTAGAAGGCGTACGTACAGAAGGTGGCGGGCTCAGCTCCGCCCAGCATCTGCAGGGCGGAGCCAGACAGCGTGGCGCCGACTATCTGAAGCTCCAGCAGGTTCTCTCCACTCTCCAGGTGAAGCGCTTCGCCAGATTCGTCGGCCTCGTCCTCGGCTGTGGCGTCCACTTTGACGCTGTAGGTTTTGGTCCCGTAGGCGACGTCTCTGAGCTGAGCTGTGGAGCAGAGAAACCTCATCGTCAACATTTACTCTTTAAACTGAACATCAGCAGGATGGATGGATGCTGGGAGGGTGGGAACCTTCCAGTTTCCTGATCTTCGTCGCCCTGGCGTCCAGCAGCTGAGCCTGGCGTTCTAGCTTCTGCTCGTACTCGAGTTTGTCTGCGTCCATCTTGCGTAGCGCGGCGTCCAGCTCGGCCTGCGGCCACGAGACAGGAAATAGATTCTGCTCAGCACAACAAACGTGATCAGGTTCCACTCTGACCCCTCCCCTCGCTGCGTTACATGCAGTAAGAATAAAAGTGGGCGGGTGTGTTTGCTCCACCTTGTAGCCTCGGCTGATCCGGCCCTCCGTGCTCAGGAGGCTCCGGGTCTTTTCCAGCTCCTGAATGGTTTCGGCGTGAGCGGCTCGCAGCTCCTTAATGGCGTTTTCCACGCTGGTGCCGCCCGTTTCCTCCTCCTCCCTCAGGAAGCCCAGATCTCCGCTCCTCTGGGATTTACGTGTCTGATAGACGATGTTACAGACAAAAGGCGAGACATGAGACTGAATCTGGGCTGTGTGTGATCGCAGTAACGACCGGACTCACTCACTTTGACGAGCAGCAGCGCCTCGGTGAGTTCGGCCACGTCGTAGTCGCCCCCCTGTGAAGAGCACGGTGATGTCACACACACCAAACCTGCAGCAGGTGAAAGGATCTGATTCGTCTGCTCACCCGACTGTAAAACCTGAGCTGCTCCTCCAGCTGCTGCTTCTGCTGCAGGAGCTGCGCCTCCAGTTTCTGATTCGCTTCTTTCAGCTTCTCGTTTGTGTCTGAAAAACAATCAGAGGGAGGAAATCGGTCGCCACGTTCACCCTCGGCGCTCTCACGGGACACGCAGCGGTCTTAATGGGCAGGCAGGGGGCGTACGCGTACCTCTCTCGGCCTTGACTTTGTCGAGGATCTCGTTTTTGTCGACGAGGTCGGCCTTGAGCGCCGTCTCCAGCTGAGAGATCTGAAGCCTCAGCTGCTGCTCCTGAAGCTGCCATTTCTCCTGCTGAGAGACGTCAAAGGCGCTGCAACGAAA